AGACAATTTTTGTTAATTTTTGGGGCATGAACAGTTTTGATACACAAAATGCTTACTTACAAGGTTTATGAGATCTAAAAATGTGACTAGGAAGGAAAACTAAAGCACTAGTGTCAAAAAGATCTCAAACTATTGAATATAAATTAAAATCACAGGAAAGATGTTAAGATATGCAAAATGGCTTTCCTAAGTATCCATGGCTTACAGAAAAATCGAGGTCGAGTTGAAAATCTAGTAAAACAATTAAAACTGGATCAAATACTCCAAAATCAGATCTAAGAGTCGACATCAAATCATCCTAAAAAATATTCCAATTCTGATATAGATTTTCTGAAACTTTTATTGAAAGCTTACCTAATACAACAGCCATTAACACCCGTGCTGACAGTTCTAGACAATATATGAGTATGGAATATTCTATTCAGACTTGTTATGAGAAATATGTAGGAATTGCATTTTGAAAAGATAACTCCAGTTTCTGCAGATAAATTCAGAAGAATATTTACTGAAAGAATATAATATAAGTTTCAAAACTCCGAAAATGGATACATGTCAAGCATGCGATAAGTTTTCAGTAGCTTTAGAAAATGCTAAGTTACACAATGATGAAACGAGGTAAAAAATTAAACTGAACAAGAATTACATCACAGAAAAGCTGAAGCAGGTCAACAGGCAGTCAGAGACGCAGTAGAGGAAGCAAACTTAAACCCAGATGTGCATGCAAAGTTTTGATCTACATGCAAACCCTTCCCACACCAAAGCTTACCACTGTCCCATTGTTCTATAAGAGAAAATTATGTGCTATAAATTTAGCTACATTCCTTGGAGATGGTCATGGGTCACTTTTTTATGTGGGATGAATCCACTGCTAAAAGAGGGTCGGACGAAATAGCTAGCTGTCTCAAAAGTACTTTGGAGAATAAATAATATTCATGGCAGAAAACTAATAGCTATTTCAGACAATTGCTGCGGACAAAAGTATTTGGTATTTCATATTTTGCCTCCTGATTATACACATAATCAGCTAATTTTAGCATTATTCATAGTTTATAGTTTTTAATAAAAATTAAACAATATTTTTTTTAAATTCAACACTTCAAAACTCAAATCTTCTTTATTGTCCCTTACCATATTTTTTACTGCCGGACCCCCAATTGTAGGTATATAGCGTCTTAATACCGATTTTTGTTAATACATGAATTCTCGAACAATTGCATTATCAGCCATCCCAATATTTCTGTTTTTCAAACACTCATACATATTTAAAACCATCCTTTGGGATAGTACGTGCAAATCTTTATTTTTTTAATTCGGGGCTGTCATTAACATTTGTCATTATTTATTGATAACACAGAAGTTGATGCTCTTGATCATTCGTATCAAATGGTTTCCACAAAATGCCATCCTAGAAAAATATAATATACTTACCTATAATAAGCCTCCGCCTCTGATTGCTGGTTGCAAAATGAAATATTTAGGTGTCACTTAGCGAGGACGAAACAGGTGTTCATTACGATTTATGGCTTTGCGGGTTCGCTGTTGCCATAATGCATGAGTTTAAAATTAGTGATGTAACTTTAATTACCATTATTAATATTATCTGCAATTTTTCATGTTTCCAGGTAAGGTCAAGATCATGAAATTTGGAAAAAAAAATAATACAATTCTTGAAACCGTTTTTGAGAACTTGAATTCTTAAAAGTTGTCTGATTTCTTAAAAGTCGATCATTATATCTATAAGAGTATTACCGCTAAATTCACCAACATGACGTCGAGTATAGACCCAACGTCCCAAATTCTCTCCAGACTACAATGTTGCCGATATCGAAAATTACTTGAGTAGAAGTAATATATACAAAGTTCACGGTTGCGTTAATTCTATTAGTGAAGAGTCCATGGGAATATTAGTAACCTAGTTAATTAATTTATAGATATATTTTTTGAGAATATGTTACATATTATTTTTTAAGAGTGTCGTTAGAGAATAGGGAATATTTTTTAAATATACCTTAGAATTTAGGAAATTTGTCTGACAACCTTGATTTGAAGGCGGTCTCTTTGTTACCATGAATGAGGCATGTTATGTTGGAAAATTATTAGTGGATGTACTATACTACTACTACACCTACAACTACATGATACCTATTGACATTACTATTATTGTCTGTCTATGTCAACCCATGGACACTATGGGTGCGTTCCGCTTACGCTACACCATATATATCTGTGTATACAATATAAATGTATTACATTCTCAACAAACAAGTAGGTATTTTGGTAATTGGCAGCAAACCAGAAAAAATTAACTAATAAATAAGAGATATTGTATAGAAGTTTGTAATACAGTTTTCTTCTAATCATGCCGCCTTTTACCAAATTTTAGCAATCCAAATTGCAATTGTAGCTTTGGAAACTACAGCAAAAAAGATTTCTGCAGTTGGGCAGAACTGAGAAATGACTCCTACATATCCAGTCCTTTAACCAAGAATTCTGGCATATTCCTAGTGACCTCCTACACTCTATTATAAATCGAAATAGCCCGTATTTTTCGTCGCTAAATATCTGCACTTTCTCCTTTTTATGCTCTTTGACATGGAAGCTGTTGGTCCTGATAACATCTCGGCAGATATGTTAAAACTAGGTAATTAACGAAGAAACCATTAAAATATTGGTTAAGCTTTTCAATCATCTGTAAGTACTTAACTGGTGAAATACCAGAGGACTGGTTGAGGTCTGCATTCATAATTTTAATAAAAAATACAGCAGCATCCAAACTACTGTAGCGTATATAGACATAACTCTTATTAGTCACACTTTAAAGTTATTCCTATACAATTTCCACAGAATAGATCATTTCTGTGCTAAACAAATGTCGAGATCAACGTAAAAATGTATTTGCCGTTTTTATTGATTATTAAAAGGCATTTTCCTGGCATAAGTGGCACCTTCTTAAAGATGCGACAGTTACTCACTACCCGTAATCTTGATTTGTCCCTACGATACCGCATGATAAAGTGTTATGTATAGTGTACTATTACACAGCGTGGAAGCTTGGACGTTAACAGTCAGCTAGTTTACGACGTTTAGGGAGCTTTGAGATGTGGGTATTTCGTCGTATGCTGAAAATTCCATGGACCGACCACGTGAGAAATGAAGAAGATTTAAAAGAAGAAGAAGTTTTAAGAGTTAATAGCCACGACGTCAAGATAATTGAAAATTTATAATGGTCTCAAACAGCAACCATTTGTATTAATGGGAAGTCAACAGAAAAGTGTAAGATTGTAAAGGGAGTCTGGCAGGGGTGTGTGCTGTACCCACTGTTGTTTAAATTATATTCGGATAGAATTTTTAAACATGCTTTCACAACTTGTGGAATGTGGTGTAAAAAATGAATGGAAAACTGATAAATACCATCAGATATGCAGATGGCACAGTTATATGAAGTGAGATGAGAGACGCAACTAAAAATGAATTGTTCTAAAACAAAATACATGGTCACTTACCTTAAAGAGTATCCAATTTTAAATATCAGGTTGTTATATTACTGAACAATTAGATCCAGATAAAGAGATAAAATATTGAATTGAAATAACTAGTGTAATTAAAAAAAAATGAGATCACTTTTCTGTAACTTGATTAATGTAAATGTAACTGATTCATGTAAATGCATGATTAAATATTACACATGGTCAGTTGTGTTATAGCACCATCGAATTAGTAGAAAAACAGGCTCATGTTGAAGAATGTCAGGGAATAGACCAGGTAAAGAGAGTCAAACAACTGTTCAGAATAGCTAGACAGATAGATTCTTGTCTTGTTAATGGCTGAGGTGTAGGGGACTTGATAAGGCACATTATAAAAAAAGAAGCTTCAATTTCAAGCTAGGATTTCCCTATTTCTTCAAGTCCTTCTCCAAGTTTTTTTAGATAAGCATACTTTCCTTTGGCCTTGAGGATTCCAATACAGCAATTTAATGGCAATGTCATCTGAGACATGATCATTTATTGATCAGATTTTAATATTAAAATAAAAGGACTGTTAAGTAGTATTTAGTTATAAGTAGGTACAGTTTCCCTGTCATATTTATATATTTTAAACCAGTGTATGGTAGAACACATAAAAAAAAAAATATACTTAAATGAACAAAATAAGGAATTTTGCTTAGTTTAGTAAGATCACTACAGATATAAACATGGCATAATAATGTTGTGATAAATGTATGAAAGAATAATATATAACCTTCCAATATTTACTATGAAGCAATACTTTTGTCCTATATTGGTCCTATCAGAGATTAGAAAAGAAACTTGAAAATTAATGAAGAGAAAAATCTTGTGATGAAAATATTGGTCCTAACAAACAGAAGAAATTAACATAAGAATAAACAAATGATGTAAAATAGAAATCAGTAATGAATGACTCAACCAGACAAAGAGTGGGTTATACACATGAGAAAAATTACAAAGAAATGTTTACTATATATTTACAATTATAATTTAAATTTAATATCTAAATAAGTATGTTTATACAATAATATAAACATCAATTCATTATTTAATGTTAATAAATAGTTTAAATTAATTGGATGATGGTCATCCATCAAAGAATAAAGTAAATTCAAAAACATAGTAACATTATCAGATATAACAGGGTAATAGTGAACATATTTTACAATTTGTGGATTATTCCCAAAATATATATTTAAAATTGATATGCCACACACAACTGTAGAATATATTGTAAAATATTACCTTTATTTCTAAATGGCATAAAAAATCGTACATATCCAAGATAAGTTAAATTTTCTATATAAATAATTACAAGAACTATTTTTTTGCAAAAGAGGACAATTTGTGACTTTTACATATTTAGATATTTTGTCAAACCAAGAACACGACTCTCTTTTCCATGAGTTTCTAAGATCCGTGAATTTAAACTTACCTTTCACCATTTCTTCCTACAAAATGGAATTGTTTGGAAAGGTAAAAAAGAGATCCATATAACACAGACTTATTGTATTATATTAATAACTAGAGTAATAAAAATTAATTTATAAATAATAATGATACTGTATTAATAAGGCAAACATTTCTAATGGTCTAGTCACAGATTATATTATATTGCAAGCCCATAAACTGACACTATGCAGAACATTGTTTTATTCTCCCAACGAACAGTACAACTTCCATCAGTATTGTTGTCCCAATAACAAGAACTTGCGGTGTGCAAACCAGCTCCGTTCTTCTGCATTATGGTACAGGTTACAATGTACTTGTAGGGCTTCATAAGTTTTGTTAGTTCAGCTGTGCAGGATTCAACAACTTCAGTCGTCCAATTGTTTACCTTGTTTTGTTGATACCCGTTTCCGCCAATTACAGTTTCAATAGCATCTTTAATTATTTTACTAACATCGTCTACAACAAATTGACCTTCCTCTTGTAGATCTTGATCTACGAGTTCTTGCGGTGACTTCTCCATTGATATGTTGTTTAGTGAATATAATGTAGCGGTTTTTCTGTTGGACTCGGTTAATGCTCACTCTTAATTTACGATACTGAATATATTAATAAATAAAATCAATAATTTTCCAAGTGCAACTGACTTTATAGATTGTTATTTGACATATGACATCTAATTAATGATTAATGCAAATTAATGTTTCATCTGTTCTTCTTTTAAGTGTCAAGAAAACATGGACTTCATAGATTTGTAACAAGGATAGCTAGTCAATACATGTATTTATTTGTGCACCCTTCCGTTTGGTGGCATTGTAGTCTTGTTCCTGTACGTTGTTCGTTGTCACCACAGAAAAATTAAATCAGGTGGGAATGTCCTGTGGTTGTCACTTTGTGTTATGTCCAATGAACAAGGTTATTAAAAGACAGGTTGCATGTTTGCATGGTAACTCTGAAATTGACAGAATTAATTATGTCACTCAGGAATCAATTTTATGAATTGTTTGAGAACAGACTATGATAAGTGGTTTGGACTTGGAGAATATATTTTGCAAGGTTCTGAAACTACTTTCTCGTGGCATGGTTAAATTTTTCACGGATTTCCGGAGTGTAAATCGAAACGTCAAATATTAGTTAATTAAAAATGTGATTTTCATCACAATCACAAAGAATATATTTTTGTTTTTAAATATTGTTCTTTTAGTTTATGTTTATATCTTAAACGTTTTTTCAAAATACAAACATTAGTGATTACTATTTATTATACTACTATTACTATTATATGGGAATAAGCCACAATTAAAGGTTAAAGTACGTTTATTGACGATTCAATTTCGACTTCGGAAATCGTGAATCGTCTTCAAACACATCAGTCCCGTCACAGTCCCGGTGCCAAACCGGTCATGTTTGGTCATAGAACTATTAATTATCTGACAGCTGGGAAACTCTTCATCAACTGATGAATGTGAATGCCGGCGGCATATTTCTATTAAAGTAATTATTTTGTATGACGGATTGTTCTGTTCGGCGCCGGGATTGTGACGAGACGTGACTGATGTGTTTGAATCGACCTTTAAGAACGATTTCTGAAGTGGAAATTGACACGTCAATAAACGTACTTTAACTTTTAATAATTGTAAAAAAGTAAAAAAACAAATATCATTAATAATTACAAACTTAATTTTAGCAATTCTATCGGTATTTCTACGGCCAAAATTAAGATGAGTTAAAAGAAATAAGCATGAGATCAAAATGCTTGGCTAGGAAAGAAAAAAAAACTGTCATTGAATATATAATTTTACACAATCCCAAAGAGGGGCAGATAGAAGTAATAAAAATGAATACTCGTACCCACATATTAATTTAAAAGAAATATCTTTATGTAATAATGTGATAAAAAATCAGAATTAGTACTAAAAGAGAATTAAGGAACACGAAAGAAGAAAACGTGAATCTTTAACAAAAACCTCTAGCAAAAGAAGATACTGAAAACAATCTTAAATATGGATTATAAATCTTGAGACAGCTAAACTAAGTTTGAATGAAAGACAAACCATATTTTTAAAATCCAGTAATGCAATTAGATGTTCTTAAATATGTTGAACTTAAGGGTACAACTACTAATTCTGATATATAAATCTTTAATTTATAATAATGCATTACATGCATTATTCCCAATTAAAAATTATGTACCTACTCAAAGAGAATTGTATTCAACCCATTATATAGTCATTAAGATTCCACAACTATTTTTTTTTTCAATATACATAGATTAATACATTTTCAATCATTGCTGCTTTCCGAATTCATTTCAATTTAAGGCGAATGAATTTGAATGTACATAGCATTATCAGTGACGTCATTCTCGCCATTAGATTCTCGACGCTAAATAGTGTAAAGCTACCAGTCAACCTGTCTATTTACAAATCTTGAATTAACCTAGATTAGTAACAAGATAGTCAAGGTCAACGCACGTTTTTATTTGTGCACCCTTCCGTTTGGTGGCATTACCAGTCTCGTTCCTACGCGTTGTTCGTTGTCACCACAGAAAAATTAAACCTGGTAGGAGTGCGCTGTGGGTGTCACCCAATGACGTCATTGTTGTCACCACAGTACATAAAAGTTGTCACTTTATGTTATGTCAAATAAATAGTGCAAAAGGCACCGAACATTTTACAATTTTAGACTAAATTAGAGAATGCTGCAACGGAAACTATAACAATTTTCATGTATGCGCTAGTCATTTTAAAGAAAGGGGGATATAATCAAAGTTGGACATAGGGGCACTAAGAGAACAGCCGTTTCAAGTTTGTCTTTTATTATCATGATGAGGTAAGAAGACCAGGCTTGTATTTACATAAAACTTGACATTAGATCATTACAACCCAGAGGATAATACCCTACCCATGGACGTATTTATACGTCCATGACCCTACCACAAATATACTTTGGGAATTTAGAGAAATATTAAAACGGGCAAACACTGTAACGAAGAGCTGTAAGTTGTCTACATTTGGCGCAATTGATGATAAGAATACAATTTTGAGTTTTTATTGCTTATCTTTAAATTGGCACTAATAGTCATGGACAAACCAAATATTTTTAATTAGTAATAACAATAAGCATGGAAAATCTTGTCCAACTATTTATTTTGTTTAATTTTCTTAATATAAAACAGTGTTGTAAAAGACGTCCACTAATGCTAACTAAATGAGAATGGTGGATGGCGCTACAGTCATGTAGAGAGCGAATATCTGTCATACTTGTGTTCTTAGATTTTAGCATTGATTAAAAACTACAGAATAGTAGTTTTTAATAATTGATTTTAGTTTGACTATACCAGTGATATGCAAGATATCACTGGTCTGTAAAGTCAATAGAGGGGACGCGTCATCGTATGGAATTGACTGGTGTCTAAACTGGCACCAGAAGGGTTGCCAGGTCATATTTTATTTCTGTAGTAGATTGAGAATATGATTGATATATATATATATATATATATTTATATATATATATATATATATATATATATATATATATAATATATATATATATTATATTATATATATATCAATATATTTTTTTTCAAAATTTATAATTGAACACTGATATGACCACTTTAAAGGTTTAGTAAATGAGTGATACCTGTCCTTTCTCTTTCCTCTGACTGGACTAACCTTCTAAAAAAACTGTCGAAATTTCCTCAGAGGATAAAGCTTGTATAAGAGGTGTTATCAAACGTAGACTCATCGAGCAAAAAGATAAAAGAGGGAATCTAATCGTTATGAAAAGGAGGACCAAAAAAGTGGCCTCTGATGGCGGACATATCCGGAAATGCAAAGGCGCTAAATTTAAATTTTCCAACACTTATTAACAATAGCTATAAAATATTTTTCAGACGAGGAATAGTTTTAATTAAATATTAAACTGTAATAGTCTAAAAAGTGACACAATTGGTAAAAAACTTCAATATAAATAAAATTTCATGTGACAGTTGGGACAAACAATAACATAACCAAACTAAATTTGACTTCTCAAACAAGGATAAGAGACTGTCTTTCCTTGTTTAAAGTGGCCTCATCAGATAGCACTTCCTGTCTAACAATATTTTTGTTCCCCCACTACCTTTACATTCCCTCTTTTATCTTTTTGCTCGATGCGTAGACCCCATACTTACTTTGATGTTTCTACTTCTTTCTTCTTAGCTTCAGCAGTTGTAGGAAATTATTAATACATTCTTTGGTGGTCTTGTCTTCCTTTAATTTAAGTAAATATTAGTAACAGCAGCAATGACCAATAAGTTCATGAAGGCATTGGCAATATCGTGCGTAGAAAGTTGGATATACAATGTGCAAAATTTTAGCCACATCCATTATTCCAGCCAACAACTTCTTCAAACCTTTTGTCTTAAATGTCCAAACTTGCAGAAGCAAATGCGGTGCTGGACTAATATTTCCTATTTTGTCTCTAGGTTTAAGAATACGGATATTAATGATGCATTTTAATAATAGTACTCTTAGAAGATTCTTTAAACGAGCTTTGTACAACTTGAAATATAGCGTAAAAATTAACGGAAAACTGATAAATAACATCAGATAATACAGGTATATTGAGCGATGAGTTAAAAGGATTGCAATGTCTTTTAAATTCCATTAGCACATTGGGACAAGATCTTTTACAGATGTTCACTAATGCCGACTAAATGATAACGGTAGATGGCGCCACAGTCATGTACAGAGCGACTACCTGACATCTGCTTTCTAAATTTTAGCTTGTGTACTAACTTTATGAAAAAACTGTCGGCATTTCCTCTGTCAAAGCTCGTGCAACAGGTTATATGTTTTAATTTCCTATTTTTTAAATCTCATTAGTCACTTAACGGTCCCAGTCAAAACAGCAATTAACATTAACAATTACCATATACAACTTCTTAGTTATAGTGATCCCATGCTTACTTTTATGTTCCTACTCATTTTTCTTAGCTTTAGCAGCTACGAAAGCGACAGCTACAGCTACAGTTTTCCTTGCACCATGTTTCTATTAGTCGGAGAGCAACTTGTAATCTCTCACATAGTGTGTTTTCAAACTTACGGCTTTGCAAGACAGCAATATCGTCTGCATAGGCTATTGTGTATAAACCGTTTCTGCTAAGTTGGTCAACCAGGGTATCTAGAACTATGTTTCAGAAGAGTGGTGATAGCTGGTCTGGTCTTTACTTAAATATACAGTTACATTCAGTAGTTCATTATTTTGTGGCAAATCCTAGGACCATTCAGGATTAAGGAAAAACATCTTTCATTAATAGAAAACAACTCGAATAGTAATGTAAGGACCATTTTCCAAATATCTATATTACATAATAAGGTGCTCACTCGCAAATTGAGATCTATAAATATGGAGTTTTTCAAAATTCAATTAATGATTTATTTAATGTACAGAAAATATACAAATGAAATGAAAACTGTATAGATATATAACATTTTTAATCTTTTCATTGTTTTAATACTTATCTAAATCTGAAAAATATTTGGGATCAGAATACCCACTATTTCTCAGTTGTAAAATTAGCAGTACAGATTTAATAGAATCGGTTCGGGCGCAAAATATACAGATATTTCCATCTCGGTAGATGGATATCACAAAAAAAAATTAAACAATATATATTAA